CCCCCAACTTAGAATCATCTAGGAAGAGTCTCAATACAGTGCCTTTATTATCAGGTTGCTCTGTGAGGTTGTCTGTAGGGGATTGTCTGGGTTGTTCATGAATGTAGGTAGAACAGCCTAATGTGGGTGGCAGCATTCCCTAGGCAGGAGGAACTGAATTATGTGGGACAGTAGAAACCTAGATGAACAGCAAGCAGGTAGTGGGAGAGCATTCATTTCTCTCTGATCTAGAGAGTGAATTGGATGTGACCTGCTGCTTGCATTCCCTCTTGGCTTCCCCAAAATGATAGACTGTCACATAGAGTTGTAAGCTGAACAAACACTTTCTTCCATTATATAACTCTTTGTCAGGGTATCTTATCATAAAAACAGAAATGAAACCAAGACAAATTGTCTAACATGAAAAGAATATTTTTAAACATATGGTTTATTGAGACATAATTTAGATTTAGTAACAAAGCACAGTTCCTGTGAAGTATAGTGCTGTAAGTTTCAACAAGCAAATTCAGTTTTATAACCATCAAGATGCACAAAAATCCGTCACTCCCCAAAGTTCACCCATGACCTTTCTCCTATCCTGCCTGCTGCTGATTTCATAGTAGTGGACACAGCATGCTTTGCTGCAGACAGATGGGAGACACATACCCATCTCCCTGTGTATGCTCCCTGCTGTGCTCTGCTCCAACCACTCTTCAACGCCTTGGCCTTTCCATGCTCTCCCACAAGCCTGACACCTGTTTTACCTAAGTCCCTCTCTTCCTCAATTCTGTGTGGAGGGAAATCTTTGGAAACTTTTTAGCAAAGGAATTACATAATTTGATTTGCATTTCCCAAGCACCACCTAGTGATGTAGGGGAAGATCCTGGCTTATGAGACATATACATTGCAGTTTGGAGGGAAAATATGTCTACAGCTTGCTTTGAGATGGTCCACCCATCTGCGTGTTCATGTCCATGTATGTATATAAGTGAATAAAATAGGTCAATGCTAATTGGCAGTATTTCCTGTTCACTGTACCTTTTCAACCTTCTATGGGTGCCTTAGTTACTTTTCTGTTACTATGACACCTGGCAAAATCTCCTTGGGGGAGAAAGGGCTCATTTCCCAGAGGGCTGCAGTACATTCTTCCATGCAGACTGGATCTCTTTACATCAGAGTCCTTAGTGCTATTTCAGGAGCATCCTCCATGCATTTGATAGATGCTGTGAATTCAGAAAAGAAGTCTGGGCTAACATGATAGAACTTTGAATTGTGAGCATCTCCTGATGTCTAAGCTATGGAGCTAACCAGGATCTCCTAGGACATGGGTATGGTTGGAGAGGAGGCCCAGGCTGTTCTTGGGGAGCTGGGACATGCTCAGCCTAGAAAAAAGTGCAGTACATTGATTCCCCCTGGTCTGATCCCATGCTTCCTGACAAAGCATACGACTTAACTTGCCATATAGCTTTACCCACAAAGGAAAAGGTGGCCATCTAGGTCTGCCATAGTCTAGTTTTTGGGACAGTTCTTGTAATAACTTGAATACACCCACAAACTTGGTTCAGTGAGCTCCTGAGACAGTCATCCAGTATGCTGACAAAAAGTTGGTGCATCTGCTGAGGAGGCCAGTCACAGGGTTGTGGAAATTCCCCAAGGAAATGAACACTGCACAGCTGGCAGGTCCTTCCTCATGTTCTTCTCTTTGTAGCCTGCCAGGCAAGGATGTTCCCACACTTCCACAAATGGTGGGAAGTTCAAGCCAGGTAGAACTAATAGAGTATTCTCTTTGTTGGCTGCATCCTTTTGTACTGTGCCATTCCACCGATTTGCCACTGTGCCTCTCAGAGCTTTTCTTTCACACACAGTTTGCATTTCTTACATCAAGGTCCTTATTACTATTCCAAGTGCTTTCTCTCTGTGTGTGATAGATCTGTGCTTGGAAGTTTTATTTTGTTTCTGGGTCAGTTATATTCAAATAATTCAAAACCAAAAATGGCATCGTATACACTTTCCTTCCAACCTCCTCCAAAGTCATGCTTGTTCCCTAAATCACTGTCTATATATGCTATAATTACATGGCCACACTTAGCCAGAAGCATGATCAGGAAGTACATCCTCTAACTAGGTATTGATAGGTCCAACTACCCGTGTTCCTACGTAAGAGTGGCTTGGTACAACTCTACTCTCCTTCTTCAGGACTCCTGCCTTTCCTCCCCTGGGTAAGGCTGCCATTTTGTCCACCAGGAAGAGAGAAAACCTTGTTTTCTAAGAAATAAGGTTTGATCAGAGACTTGCAGGGAATTTTGAGGAAGAATATCTGAGGTGCAGGAACAGCAAAGGCCAATCCTGTCCTGAGAATGACAAGAGTCAGAGGACTGAGATAGAAGGCAATGGTTCCTGAAAGAACCAGAAATATGTCCATGTCAACCATGGCCAAGTAGTTGGATTTGATTCTCATGATGGTAACATGTCACTGTAGAGTTTGGGGCAGAGGGACAATGTGACAGCTTATGTTTTACACACATCGTCCAGTCATATTTACCCTCCCAACCCTTCACCCTAATTCTCCCAGGTCCACCCCCACTTCCCTGACCTCTCCCAACTTTGTGTCCTCTCTCTTTCTCTTGTAATGACTCACTGAGCTAAATTTAAGCTGAACATATACTAGAGCATGGATTGACCTACCAGGCACACCCTTAAAGAAAACTGACTCTCCCCTAGAAATCTTCAATATCAGTATCTCCTCAGTTATTGGTTGGAATGTGTGAGTCCCTCCTCCCATGATAGGATGTTGGTTGGCTTGATCTTATACAGGTCTCAAGCAGGCACTCACAACCTTTGACCCTTACAATCTTCCCCGATCCCTTTACAGAAATGTTCCCCACTGAGCCTTGGGGAGGGGTGGTAATGCAGATGGTCATTTGTTGCTAAATCCTCTGCTGATACTTATTCTCTGCACTTTGGTAGGTTGTGAGTTTCTTTTTAATTAACCATCATCCGATGCATGAAGAAAGTCCTCTGATGAGGTCTGAGAGCTTTGTTAATCTATAGGTATAGAGAAACAAGTTTAGAAAGTTTGATACTGTGTCCACTTAGCAGAAAAATATTAGGTTCACCCTTAGGTACCAGTAGCTCCCTAACAATTGGGGATTCATAGTATCAGGCATGTGTTTTTTCTTGTACAGTGGATCTTAAATCCAATTAGGAAGAGTTTGGTTGCCCCAATACCATTCATGCTACATCATAGGCACATCTTGCTACACTAGCCATTACTGTGAACGCAGGTTTCACACGTAAGTAAGATTGTTGATGATTTTGTCACCCAGAAACCCACATAGCACCTTCCAGGACTGTGAAAACTAGCCAGTCGGAAGAAAGCTTCCTGTTTACTGCTACCTTGATCTCTCCAAGTCCTGTGACCTAAGTATGTGGCATATTCAGCAATAGGGTCTTATCATCAAGCTCTGGTGGGCAATCAAGGTCAATGACAATATCCTGTATTTCAGGGGGTGGGGCTCTCTGTGATATCCCTAACCAACAAATCATAAGGAGGTACCCACAGCTGGCACTGGGCTTTTACGTTGGCAACCAATGGCTTCTGGGAGGAGCATCATCCCCTGTGTAGAGTAACTCCAATTAAGTTACACACACACACACACATTAAACTCTTCTGTGGCTAGTATGAATTATTTTATGTAAATTATATATGTGTGTATACACACATATATTAGTAGGTTTCTGTGTGGCTTTTTCAAACACCCTTGGTGTCAGCCCCACCCTACCCCCACCCCGTGCTGTCTTCTGCTCTCCTCTGCCAAGTCCTTACCTAAACCACCCTATCATCCCCTTTTTCTCTTCATATCACCTGTATCACCTTTAGATCACCTATCCATCCTCCCCTAAGATCTTCCCTCCCCCTCCCCACCAAGGGTGCCAGGAATCCACCAGTACTCCTAGTAAAACTTACGCTTGTGTAGGCGTGAGAGACAAGGTCATTGGAAGTGACAGCACTGATGAGACTTAAAAGCCATGCTACAAGAAAGATCATCTTGTATATTTAAGATCATGAAAGAGTCATGGAGTCAGAGTTAGAAAACATGAACCCAAAATTTTCCAGGACTATAAGAGGGTAACTTGAGGTCTCATATAATTAAGTGTGGACTTTCATGATTCCTCTGAGAGGAAGTGGGATTCTGACCCTGGGGATAACTCCTGCCATTGACACCAAGCAAGACAGAACATCTGCTTAACGGGCCAGAATTTTCCGTGTCCTCTCTTATACCAGAAGAGTCTGGGATCTACATCTGGCACAGATACAGAATTCAGCTTTTGAGATGTTGCTCCTGCCCAATATATTATGTCATCGGAAACAAAAGCAAGAATGCTCTCCCATCCCTCCAGCTATCAGTACTTGACTTAAAAAGATGATCAAGAAGAACATTAACAGGCTGGGAGTTGGTGGCGCATGCCTTTAATCCCAGCACTCAGGAGGCAGAGGCAGGTGGATCTGTGAGTTCGAGGCCAGCCTGGTCTACAAAGCTACACAGAGAAGCCCTGTCTTGAAAAACCACAGAAAGAAAGAAAGGAAGGAAGGAAGAAAGAGAAAGAGGGAGGGAGGAATGGGGCGGGAGGGAGGAAGGAAGGAAGACAGGCAGGCAGGCATAAACATGAAGCTTCTTAGTGTACATTCTCTCGAGTTTTCATTTATAGATCACATAACCATTTGACTACAGTGTGGTCTTCTGCTGTTTCTGCACCTCTTCATGGTGAGTCCTGGTAAGTGGAGATTCAATAGTCCATGGGACATATTGCCTCTGTTACCTCAATTTTCTTCTTCATTCCCATCATAACCTCATTTCTTGTCACTTGGAACTGGAGACTTTGTGTCTGCTTTCCATTTTCACTCGTATTGGTTACTTACTTTTCTGGTTTGATTGGTGACCACCCACTTCCTCTGTTGAGCCCTGTCTTTGTTTTTTTGTTTTTTGTTTTTTTCTGAGGCACAGCGACTGCACCTGATCCTATCAATGCCCCAGCTACTGACTGCACCTTCAGCAGCTGCCATCAACTCTCTGCTGACGCCACTGAGGAGACAGCCTTCCTGTCCCATCACTGCCACCTCAGCCACCTCCATGGAAGGAGGTAAATGTTTTAACTCTGTCTCTATCTTTTTATTTTATCAATAAAGATTCAGGAGTCAGATGGCTGGGGTGAAAACCTGCTAGCTCAGAGAGAAAGAGAAAGCAGCCAGATGGCCTTCCTCCTCTGCTGTTAGCCCAGAAAGATGGCTTTTCCCTATGCTATCTGAAACAAAACTCCTCCACCTGGATGTCCCTCCCTTCTACTTCCTGCAACCCTTGACCTCCCAACTTACCCTGAATCTCTATGGTAACTTCCAGTCAACTGATTGCTTGCTCCACATCTTGACCTATGGTCATTTTATTTAAATAGCACAATGTCAGGGTTCACAGTGTGATCAAATATCCCTTAACAGAGCCCTTTACTTCTGCATCCTTACCCAGAGATAGCATGATCATTGCTCAGATGTTTCTTTAACCTTGTAAAGGCACACTGGACTGAGCTAGGAATTTGCCATGTTTCCTAATCTAAATCTTTCAGACACAGTAATAAGCTAAACTAGGCTGATGTAGCTGATGGTTGTGGCAGAATACTATTTTAAGGTGTGTGACTTTTGTTTATGTTGCATTAGTTTAACTCTGTAAAGCTGTGATTCTTTGCCTGTCTAAAATACCTGGTGGCCCTAATAAAGAGCTAAATGGCCAATAGTGAGGCAGGAGCAAGGATAGGCGGGGCTGGTAGACAGAGAGGATGAACAGAAGGAGAAACAAGCAAGAGAACAGGAGAGGAGGACACCAGGGGCCAGCCGCCCAGCCACCCAGCCAGCCATGGAGGAAAGAAAGCTGTACAGAAGTAAGAAAGATAAAAGTTCAGAGGAAAAAGGTAGATGTGTTAACTTAAGAAAAGCTGGCTAGAAACAAGCCAAGCTAAGGCTCTGTGTATGATTTACTTGGAAGCTGGGTGGTGACCACCTCCCCCCACAAAAAAAGAGACAAAAGAGTAAAAAGAGCAAAACTTCACACAACAAGTAGTCCTGTTCTGGCCTTGTTAGCCTGGAAACAGGATTGAGTTTTGACCTGTCATTGCTCTCGAGGGACATAGCCCTCAACACACACACACATTGGAAGAACTCTTGCTTCTCTTGGGCTGAGAGGCCAGATCAGCTTTCTTACCTCTGACTCCTTAGTCTGGTGCTATAGCTTATATCTTAAATATTTTCAAAAGCCCATGTATCAGAGGCACTTTTGAGAGGTGGTAAAATCTTAGGACATACCCAACAGTTAGGCTGCCAGAGCCTTTCCCCGTCACACACCTCAGCTTCAAGGCCATCATTCAAAAAGCTGACACTTGGTATGACAGGAGCTTGACAGATCAATACAGAGCTATGACTAAGTTCTGCGAGGTCTCCTAAACTTTCCTTGTTGGCTTATTTGAGGGTTAAGAGGTACCTCAAGGAGTCTCAGGGCACCTAGAGTTGCTGTACTCAGGGAGATGGAGTACCTTTTAAAAAAAAATCTCTGTGAAGTTATGGCAAAATTTAACCTCTACCTGTATTCCAGGCCAATATCAATTCTGGATGTCCTTCTCAAGAATTCTCAAGGGAACAGCACTTGGCTAGAGTAATAGCTGATCTTGACTATCAACTTGACTACATCTGGAATCAACTAAAACTCAAGTGGCTGGGCTACTTGAGGGAGTCTTAAGAGGGAGTTTCTAGATTAGATCATTTGAGGCGGAGAGGCCCACCCTAAACCAGGGCCCCACCTTCTGGTGGCAGCCACATAAAAGGACATGGAAGAAGGAAACTTTTGCTTTTTACCGGCTTGCCTTCATTCTCACTGGTGAGTTCGTGTATCCATTGTTGCTGAGGCAACCTTCATTGGTGTTAGAGCTTGCTTCTTAGGGACTCCAATGTAGACTAAAGACCAGCAGCTCTCTAGGAATCCTCCAGGACTCCAGAACCAGACTGGAACTTCTTAGACAACAGTCTTTAGCAAACAGCAATTGGGTTCTTAGCCTTTGTGCCAGGGGACGGCATTGTGGGATTATCCAGACCCAGCCTGTAAACCTATCAAATAAATCCTGTGTGTGTGTGTGTGTGTGTGTGTGTGTGTGTGTGTACATGTGTATGTGCGTGTATTCTATCAGTTCTGTTTTTAAAAAAATTTTACTAATACACCTAGTACATGGAAGGCTATGAGTTTGATTCCTTGCACCAAAACAGTTCTAATCCTTCTCTGAACTCTAGATCAATGACTATATGAGTTCAGGGTATCAGATACTGGACTCTGAAATACCTGAAAGAGACACAATTTGCCTTTAAGTCTGTAACACAGAAATGTATGTTGTTTTGGGGGCACAGGGGTTGAGCAATATGTAGGAAAGTTCTTGGAATTCCAACAACAGAAGAGAATTCCAAATGGGTTTCATAACCAATTCTGGAGAGCTCCAGGACAAAGTACAATGAAAAAGGAAGATGATGTAACAGAATGAGAAAAAAAAGAAACTAATGCATTTTCCTTGGCTGGGAAGTAGAAGCAGATTGCTAATGACCCCACCAGCCAAGCATGTAAGGGAGTCCCCCACAAACAGTGGTCATCTAGCATATCACAATAGCCTAAAAAAAATTAGTATCAGTGATAGTGGCCGAACAGATGAAAGCTGAAAACCAGCTGTGTGAGTGAGATGGATGTTCAAAGATAAGAGTTTGAGGCTTGAACTACACAGTATGGGCTATCTCTGTGGAAATGCTAACTTGGTTTTCAGTACATGTTTTCTTCCCCTAAGTCCAGAAATTAAGTCTACTCTATTTTCAGAAGTTCTGAGAAAGGAGATCAAGTCACTAGCACCCATGGTCTAGGGATCTAAAGGTGGGAACAGATGAGAGTGGCACCGGAAACAAGAGTCACATCTCTGTTCCTCCTCTCAGATGCTGTCTCAAGAGGTCCCCCTGAGTCTCACTCCCACAATTGTTCCTGAAGACCTCAGCATCTCGGCTTTGGGTTTCTGGGAATCATTTTAATGATTTATTCAGGCATGTCAGTCTCAAGTCCATCTCTGAGCTCTCCACTGTATTCTGACCCCTCCACCAATGCTCTGCTTCTGCTGTGCATCCACAGCAGGCAACAGCATGGTGCAGTAGCTTGGAATAGTGGAGAATTCCAACCTCCACGTTTTAATTCATCTATTCTCTCATTCACTAATTTAACAAACGCTGAACACCTAATATAGTTCAGCCAGTGTGCTACATGTGGGTTAGAGATAAGTGTGACGTAGACTCTGTCATTATGGAGTTCATAGTCTAGTTGTGGGAGAGTACAAACAATTGACACATGTCCTAATATATTCATTACTAGAACTACACATACTGCCAATGAGATGGCTTAGCAGGTCAATGTGCCTGTCACCAAATTTGGCAACCTGAGTTCAATTCTTGGGAACCACTTGGTGGAGGGAAACAGCTTACTCCCTAAAGTTGCCTTCCGTTCTCCATATTCCTGTACACACACACACACACACACACACACACACACACACACCTGAATGAATGTTTTTTTTTTAAACCCCGTGTAGAAATCCACACATTGCTTATTGGTGGAGGAAAGGACCAAATCCTTCTCTTTGTGTGTGCTTCCACTCTGTGTGTGAGAGAGAAAGAGAGGGAAAGAGAACCTCTCCAAAGTGATAACATGATGTACTTCCTACAGAAAAATCCATTCAAAGGAAAGGATAGGGGTCTCTCACAGAGAGAAAAGGGAGGACATTTACATATCATCTATCTATCTACTATCTATCTATCATCTATCTATCAATTGATCTGTCTTCATCATTATCGTCTTTATCATGTAGAATCTGTCAGCTGTCTATCATCATTTATCTATCATGTATATATGTATGCATGTATCTGTCATCTATTATCAGATATCTATCATCATCCATTATGTATGTATGCACGTATCACCTATATTTATAATTTAAGCAGAAGAGTGGCAACAAGCTTAGTTGCATTTATAAAGAGAATATGGAAATTGAGTTGGTGTCTGGGTCTATTTGGGAGACAATCCAGAAAAATGAAAGGGTATAACCAAGATGATTTTTAGAAACTTGGTGGATGGGGCACCATTTGAGAGGAAGAACCCTTGATAGCTTTGGTAATGGAGTTTGGGGGTGGAGGCAGTTAGAAACAAAGCTAGAGAAGAAAAAACATCATAAATCACACAACGTTTTGGATTTCATCCTCTAGGTCTATAATTAAAGTCACAGATGTAGATAGCTTTTTTTTTTTTCAGAAAAGGAACTGGGATGATGGGAATTTTCTCTCTCACATTTGCTTCCTTTCTTCTTGTCCTGTGATGAGGTTCTTTCTCATTCAACCTTTGAAGACCCACATTCTTCCTTCAGGTGACTATCGAGCAGCAGAAAACTCCATGTCCTGTAAACTTCTGTATTGCCTGATTGCACCTGCCCACATAAACCTCTTCTGACTTCACAAGGTACTGAGTGTTCAGTCTAGTGCTTAATAAACCTCTAACTGCTTCCCATCCTAGTTTTATCTTCCTCACTACATTAAACTTCAGGGCAAGCAATCAAATCCTTAAGAGATACATAATAGAAACACTAAACTACCTATGGGCCAAGAGTGTTAACAGAGACTTGCAGATCAGCTTGTCAGCCTACCCAGCCCCCGGTGGTGGTTTCAATAATAGTATCCACTCAGTGTTTTCCTTAAACGATGACCCTAATATCTAGAGCATGTTGTCTTACGTTAAATGTGTACACGCTGCTTTAAACTTTATCAATACAAGTTGGTAATGCTAGGAATTATAGGAGATGAATTTTGTATCTTAATTGATGACTGGTTGAAACTTAAATTTTCAGAAGATAGAAGACACGAAGAAAGGGTAGAAGTTTCCTTAGTGACAGCATTGGTCATGACCCTGCAAATGCAAATCAGAACTACTGGAGCCATCACTGGCAGAATGGCAGCAAGCATGCCAGTAAGGTACATGTGCTGGCTAGTTTTTACCGCAACTTGACTCAAGTTAAAGTCATCAGAGAGGAGGGAGCCTCAATCAAGAGAATGCCTCCATATGGTCAGGCTGTAAACAAGCCTGTAGGGCATTTTCTTTATTAGTGATCAATGGGGGAGGGCCCACTGCATTTTGGGTGGTGCCATCCCTGGGCTGGTGGTCCTAGGTTCTATAAGAAAGCAGGCTGATCAAGCCATGAGGAGCAAGCCCCTCCATGTCCTCTGCATCAACTCCAGGTTCCTGCCCTGTTTGAGGTTTGAGTTCCTGTCCTGACTCCTTTCAGCAATGAACAGTGATGTGGAAATGTAAATCAAATCACCACCACCTCCTCCATTTGTTTTTGGTCATAGTATTTCATCAGAGCAATAGAAGCCCTAACTAATATAGTTCAGTCAATGTTTCATGAGGGCAAGGAGGAAAGTGACCTGTGGTCAGGTGTGATGACACCCAGAACACTTAGGAGGCTGAGCCGAGAGGGTTTCAAGTTGAAGGAAGCCTGGCCTTCACGGTAAGACAGACTGTCTAAATTTAAAAAAAGCAACCTCCATGCATCTATTCATTTAGGAACTAGGTAATTAATACATCTATTCTGAAAAACAGTGTGGACGGTTCTCACAAAGCTAGAAGCAAAGCAGTCATTTGTCCATGTGACTGAAAGAAATGAAATTACATCTCCTAAGGTGATCACTCTCAGTGTTATTCACAGCATCTGTGTTTAATTAACAGGCAAGTAGCCTGAGAAATTATTCTGTGTATACACAACTAGATACTAGTCTGTCATTCATAAGAAAACCATTTTGCTGGTTTTGTTAATTTGGTTCAGAGTGGAAGGCATTATGTTAAGGGATACACTCACCATCTTGGCGTATTCGGCAAGCCATTATGTAACAGGTAACCAAGGAAACTGCAGCTGTGGTAGCTGCCTCCTGGTGCCAAGAACAGCCCTGTGATTAAACAGTACTGACTGCACTGAGGGTCCTCCTGTGATGAGTGAAACCCATGGCCCAGAGGCTTCCTCAGTTACCATGTTTGCACTCACAAAGGGTCTGAACCCCCAAGAGTCCCTGGGTTGATTATGTGATTTTGACCCCCCTTTTGGCATTTGAAAATGATCATGGGAAGAAATATCCTAAAAGGGAGATTTGTCCCATCGTGACTTGGGGCAACGGGGGTGGAGTGGGGTGGAGGGGGAGGCCGAACAAGAGGCACCTTCCATCATGAATATTCATTTGCTTCATAAATATTCATAAACTAAAAAAAAAAAAAAAAAAAAAAAAAAAAAAAAAACATACAGAGCCCAGAAAGTTCAGAGCTCTATTCAGCCCACCCCTTGCTTTCTGTGGAGTGTATTATCACTTTGCTTGGTTAAATTAATTTTGGCTTCACCTGTGTCTCTTGGCTGATTTGTTTCTTTTGAGAAGAATTGAGAAACCTTCGCTTGGTAACATCTACCAGTTGGCTATGGAATCTGAAAAGTGTAAAATAAATAAATACAGCCGGGCGTTGGTGGTGCACGCCTTTAATCCCAGCACTCGGGAGGCAGAGGCAGGCAGATCTCTCTGAGTTCGAGCCCAGCCTGGTCTCCAGAATGAGTGCCAGGATAGGCTCCAAAGCTACACAGAGAAACCCTGTCTCGAAAAACCAAAAAAGAAAGAAAGAAAGAAAGAAAGAAAGAAAGAAAGAAAGAAAGAAGGAAGGAAAGAAAGAAAGAAAGAAAGAAAGAAAGAAAGAAAGAAAGAAAGAAAGAAAGAAAGAACAGGGTAGAACAAGCTTGGGGAGAAGTCGAGACAGGAGCCAGAGAAAGAGAGCAAGATGGATTTTGTAGAATAGAGAAATCTAAAGATCTAGTGTATAGAGGGTGCCCTTTCTCTGAGCCTCAGTTCGTGTCTAAGTGAGCTCAGTGTGGCCTTACTTGGTCCCCATCCTTTGCAGTGTGTGTATAGTGTCAGGGTAACCACCTAAAACAGTGGCACTCCAAAGGATTCTTTCTTTCCTTCCTCTGTTGTTTCTCGTTCCCCTTGACTTTTGATCTCATCTTGGGCAGATCCTCTGCTTCACTCACCACCA